AAGACATGCTAACTAAATGGGAGTGGGAAACAAACCAAAAAAAAAAAACTTCCATTTTAATTAAACCTTCCAGAATTAGAAGTAGACAGCACAATAAGCTAAAGTACTCTATAGAGTACAAGGTTGTTCAGTTTTAGGTAAAAATTTTTTTTTTAAAGATTTATTTATTTGTGCATACAGAACTGGGGTACAGGCCAGAGGCTCAGGGGCGGTGAGAGGCTTCACCAGAGACAGAGTGGGGAGCAGAACAGGCAGATCGACGAAGTACACTGCTGAGGGGAGCAGCGGGCGGGTCAGGAGAGGTCTGCCACGCCATGTGGTCACCTCCGGGGCAGGCGGGAATCGAACTCTTGCTGAAGCGGCTTTAGATTCTCAGTGCTGTGCTTTAACCCGCTGCGCCACCAGGGGGGGCCCCTTTAGGTAAGATTTTGTTCTGATTTTAAGAGGCCCTAAGAAAATGCTTTTGGACATTCAGAATTGGAGTCAAAACTCAAAATAGACTCAAAATATACAGTCATTGAGGTTGAAGCTTTTATAAAAATGGATGAGGGCCCTCCCTGGTGGTGCAGCTGGTTAAAGCACAGCACTAAGAAGCTAAAGCAACTTCCACATCCCGCTAGCCCTGGAGGTGACCACAAGGCAGGGCAGACCTCTCCTGACCCACCTGCTGCTCCCTTCAGCAGTGTACCTGGATGATCTGCCTGTTCTGCTCCCCACTCTCTCTGATGAATCTGCTCACTGCCCCTGCACCTCTGGCCTGTATACACCCAGTTCTGTATGCACAAATAAATAAATCTTTAAAAAAAAAAATGGATGAGGTCTCCAAGGCAGAGATTATGCTGACTGGCTGAATGGGTGATTGGTCGGTTGGCATACTGAAACTTGGTGAATACAAAGGTCTAGAGGAAAAGGAGGAAGCAAGTTAACAAAGTGTTTCATGGAAGAAACAGGGCATGCAACATCCTGGGTGCTAATGGAGAAGCAGTGCCTACAGATGAGAAGAAAACTACCTGAAAACTACTATAACTCAAAGTTCAGCATAGTGATGAGTTATAAAATAGAGTAAATTGCTTATAAGAATCATTGGCTTTCCTCCAACTAGAACCTGTTAGAAAATATGATGAAGATCCCACTTGCAAGAGCAGAAAACCAAACAATATTTAAGGGTAAACTTTGAAAATGTGTGGATTTACAAAAAACTGAGTGATTTCAATGATACACAGTAGAAAACAAGATGAAGATAAGTGTCCTCCACATGTATATATTTAGTATAACTTCAAACCAAAATAAATTCCAACTAGATCAGGGCCTAGGGATTAAGGCTCAGCACTATGATAGTAACAGCCTGAGTTCAATCCTCAGTCTTCCCCCACCAAAGAAAGATAGGAGCAGGTGTTTTTTGGCTGGTTTTTTCCTTGACAGTTTTTGTTTAATAGAAAGTTCTGTAGTAGGAAGGGAAAAAAAATAGTTCATAGTATAACCCTGACCATAGGCTTTTATTTTTTTTTCACTGTTAAGTGCTTGGCAAGCTTTGATGTGGAGGTGTCCACTTCAAAGAGGGCTTTCTCAAATAACCACACTGCCAGTCACACTACTAGATGAAGTGGCAAGCTGCCTCCTCCCACCATGAGGTTCCTTTATTTTACAGATCCAGTTCGTTTAGATCATTTGGACATTTGCATGGTTGATTTTGGTTTTTCGTTTTGTTTCTTTTGATTCCCACTCTTAGGTTTCAAATTCACCAATAAAGAGTGAGCCTGCAAAATTCTAGGTTCCCACCTTCAACCCCAGCCCCCCCCACCTTGTTCTGATACCCCCTCCCAAGTATGCTGTATAACTTCCTGATCCTTTCCATCTTTTTTAAAAGACTGACTGATTTATGCATAGAAGAACTGAGGTGTAGGCCAGAGGGGGACGGAGGGGGAGAAGAGTGAGAGGATTCACCAGAGACAGAGTAGGGATCACAGCAGGTGGACCGACTGAAGCACACTGCTACGGGGAGCAGCAGGCAAGGCAGGGAAGATCTGCTGCACCATGTGGGTCACATCCCTGGCTGGAGACTGAACTCAGGCCACAGTAGTGATAGTGTGATAGCTCTGAGACCAATGCCTAAGCCACCAGAAAAGTCCTAGTCCTTTACATTTTCTAAGGTTCCAAGTAGCTACTTTTGAAGATATGTTAGAACCATAAGAACCACAACCAGTCCACTGACAACACTGGTAACTGGCTGAGATTAGTGTAAAACAGACCAGTCTGTTACCATGTTTCTCTAACACTAGCATGCATCAGAATCACCTTATGAAAGGTGTGTGGGGAGGGGAGAGAGGTCCCGGGTGGTTAAAAACTGATTTCAAGCTATCACCAGCCTCTGCAGCATGAGCTCAATCACTAACCAGGTAACCCACATGGCACAGCAGACCTCTCCTGTTAGCTGACTCCTCCCCTCAGCATTGTATTTTAAGTGGATCTGCTCCCCATTCTGTCTCTAGTGAATCCTTTCACCCCATGTACCTCTGGCTTACACCCCAGCTCTTGTATGCATAAATAAATAAAATAAATCAAAAAAAGAATCACCTTATGAAATATTGTTAGGGCCCACCCCTCAGGGTTTCTAATTCAGCCGGCCTAGAAGTGTCAGGTAATACTGATTCCACTACTGTAAGGAACTCATTTTAAAAGTAGGCACAAAAATATGAAGCAATAATGTCAACAATCTACTCAGTAAGGGAAAGATTGATCTCCAAAAGTCCAAATCAGTGCTCAGGATAAACTTACTAGAATTTACAAGGCTGGGATATTCCAATCTCTTGATGCTTTACCTTAATTTGGATTTATCTTCTCTGGGCACTGAATCTCCAAAATTTTTACCCCCAACATAACAAATAATTCACTTATTCTGACTCTTAAGTACTACACTTGAAAATTCATAATTTGTAAAAAATGTAAATATAGAAGATTGCTCTGATAAGGATGAAAACTCTCTTGTATTTCTAATATAATTACTAGTTTATTTGTATACATTAGATATTTCCATAGAGATTTTCATAATGTCTCACAAGTCTCTGAACTCCTATATATTGATTAAAAGTTTTAATTTTTTTTCAAGATTTATTTATTTATGCATACAAGAACTAGGGTACAGACAGACCACAAGGTGCAAGTGGTGAGAGGATGCATCAGAGACAGGATGGGGAGCAGAGCAGTCAGATGAACTGAAATACATTGCTGAGGGGAGTAGTTGGAAGGTGGCGAGAGATTTGCCACGCCATGTGGGTCACCTCCCTGGCCAGGAATCAAATTTGTGCTACAGTGGCTGCAGAGAGGTTCGTAATGCTGCACTTTAAACCATTATGCCACCAGAAGGGCCCCAAATTGTGTTTTCTTTAAAGAGAAGAGTCACTAGATCTATTCCTTGACCTCCTACATTTTAGATTAAAGTAAAATGCTGTCAAGGACTAATTCTGCACCACGGAACTGAGGGATGGTGTTAAATTTAACATATTTTTAAATGGTTTTTCTGATTAGAAGAGATACCAAAGAAATTTTAACCCTACTACAAATGGAAGAAGCTTCCTTACAATGAATAACCATTGGCATATCACATTTCCAAGTTAGAGGACCTCTTACTCTTTTAGATAAGGTCTACAAGTCATTACAACTTGTCATTTAGATAAACTGAAGAGTTACTTTGTTAGCCAGTCTCCAAGATGGCCCTTCCTGGTATTGTTTCCCATGATTCACATATTTGTACATACCTTCCAATTCCAAACCATGGCTCAACTGTTATGTCAAAAAGAGTAAGACAGAAGTAACAACTGTATCGCCACAAGATAAGGCTATAAAGAATACTGCGTTTACCCCTTGGTCTTAGTCTTCTATCACTCATTCCAGGGGAAATCAGTTGGGAGCACACTCAAACAGTTCTATGCAAGGAACTAAGGCCACCTGCCAATAGCCAAGACGTGAGTGAGCCATTTTAAAAGCTGATACTCTAAATCCATTCAAGCCTTCAGATGACTAGCCTCAGCCAACATCTTAGCTGCAACCTGTTGAGCAATCTCATGCTAGAACTGACAAAGCCACACCCCAAATTCCTGACCCACAGAAACCACAAGATAAAACGTTATTTTAATCCCCTAATTTCTGAAGGAATTTGTTTTATGTAGCAATATATGTAAAAGAAAGAAATCCATTCAAAGAGTAAAATAACTACATGAAAAATCATTGCTATTGTTTTAGACTCCACATTGTGCTAACTTTAAAGAAACTAATATCTAGGCCCTCCCTAGTGGCACAACAAATTAAAGTGCAGCACTATGAAGCTCTCCACAACCACTACACCACGAGTTCGATCCTTGGCCAGGGTGGTGACCCACATGGCATGGTAGACCTGACCTGCCTGCTGCTCTCCTCAGCAATGTATTTTAGTACATCTGCCTGTTCTGATCTTTCACCTCCTGTACCTCTGGCCTACATCCCAGTTCTTGTATACATAATAAATAAAATTCATAAGAAAAAAAAAAAGAGTAAAAAGATCCTGAGTTTCCTAACATTGTTTCTGGAAATAGTCCAATCATACAATTATTCTAAACAGCAAAAATGTACAGCTGCTTACAATGCAATTCCTCTCCATGTTGCCAATAATGACCAATATTTAAAAATAAAGTTGCGGCCCTCCGTGGTGCAATGGGCTGGGACACAACACTGCAAGCTGGCCACAGCCACTTCAATGTGAGTTTGTTCCCCAGCCCCAGAGGTGACCCACATGGCACAGCAGACCTCTCCTGTCTTGCTCGTTGCTCCTCTCAGCAGTGTATTATACTTCGTCAATCTGCTGTTCTGCTCCCCACTCTGTCTCTGGTGAATCTTCTCACTGCTCCTGTACTTCTGGCCTATACCTTAGTTCTGTATGCATAAATAAATAAATCTTTAAAAAAAAAAATTTTTTAAAGTTGGGAAGAATAAACTTCACTGCCAGCAACAGAAGAAATGATAGACACACAGACAACAACAGAATTTTTAAGTCTAAGATCAGAAGATAAGCTCTCTCTCACCACAAATTTTTATTTTACAATGTTAATCATTACATTTAGAATACTGGTAAGTACAGTCCTGTTAGAGAAAGACCTCTATTTACTCAAGGCTCTAACTCCATGTAATAGTAACCATAACTAAATACTTCCTCTCCATTCTAAAAGGTAGAAGGGAAAAAATACACATCTTAGCATAATTTCTAGTTTAAACAAACCATCAGAATATCCAAAGTAAAAAGATAAAAATAATACTCTGAAACAAAGTTTAATTATACAACTCGAGAATATTTTAATTTTAAAGAGTTTTAGTAAATTAAAGCCCCATTATTACCAAATGTTCATCAAAAGTGGAATGATAGTCCTATCAGTGTTGAGGAAAATTATTTTAAATAAAGAAACAAGAGCAAAATGAAGGCTAACCATTCTCTTTCAAAAAGGTAAAGATAAAATGCTGCTTCTTCAAATAACCAGAGAATGTCACTTGACAGGAGTAAGTAGTAGGAAAGTAACTGTTCATATTTACCTTATATACAGTATTGAGTAATTAAGTATGAACTTTTTCAGGAATGGCTTGCTAAAACATTGAAAAAATGAAAGACTTCATCTTTGTCGTAGACTGCCACTTCAGTGGAACATTCAGTGCACATCACTGGGTGGTAGATTTCTTCCACTTCTGTCTCTACCTGCCCTGAAGCATCTTCATGACTAGACCGCATCTTCTTATGGCCTCTCCTTTTCTTTCTGCTTTCTGGGGCTTTGTATCTTAGGACCTCCTCTTTGTTAACAGAACAATTCATCACAAACATTGCTCTATATTGAGTTTTGTATGATTCATGCCTAAGAGAAACAGAAAACAGAGAATATGGATTTACATTCTAGTTTAATAGTTATAAATTGAGTTAAAATTTGAGAACACCAAAAATTTACTGACGTGACTGCCAAAGTAAAGATACAAGAACTGGAGTGCAGGGGAGTATGCAGCTCCCACCAAATCCTTATAAGCACTGACAAATACATTATAAGAAAAGTGTCTTATAAATATGTATAGGGCCTCCCTGGTGACCTGGGGGTTCATTCTCAGCGCTGTCCTCACTATGGCCTGAGTTCAATCTCTGGCAAGGCACTAACCCACATATGGCACAGCAGACCTCCCCTCAGCTGCTCCCCTCAGCAGTGTATTTCAGCAGATCTGCCTGTTCTGCTCCCTACCATATCTTTAGTGAATTCTTTCACCTCCAGTGCCTCTGGCCCACACCCCAGTTCTTATATACATAAGTAAATAAAAAGAAATCTTAAAAAATATTTATGTATAACCAAAATTATTTGTATAAAGATTATACTTGAAATATTATACGGCAATGATTTGTGATTAAAGAATTTTATAGGACTTCCTAAGTACCTCAAAAGGCCCCTGAGGGCTTAGGGGGTAAGTCTCAGGGCTATCACTGCTATGGACTGAGTTTGATCCCTAGCCAGGGAGCCAACCCACATGGCCCAAGAGACCTCTCTTATCTTGCCCAATGCTCCCCTCAGCAGTGTATTCAGTAGTTCTGCTGCTCTGCTCCCTACTTTGTTACTAGTGAATCTTCTTACCTCTCCTCCCCCTCCTGCACTTACGGCCTAGACCCCAGTTCTTCTACATAAAAATAAATTAAAAAAAAAAGTCCACTTCTGATTTAAACAGAGGGCCACTAAGTTGTTTTGTGATGTGTATGCTGTTACCCTTTACCCATTACCTTTGGCAATCAAGACACAATGTGGTCATGCAGGCAGGGCAATTCAAAACAGCATCACTATTTGGAACAGGGTGTTGCTGTTGATGTCGCCTCTGGATTCCAAAGCCATGGTAACTGGAATAGAACAAGGGAGCACCGAGGTACATTAAAGTCAGATCCAGATTTCTAATGCCACTCTCTAGTTTAAAAAAAGCAGCAGGGCCTCCCTGGTGGCATGGGGGCTAAAGACACAGTGCTATCAAGTTATCACCAGCCACTGCATCACAAGTTCAATCCCCAGCCAGGGAGCTAACACACATGGCGCAGCAAAATAGCATAAGAGGCAAGGGGAGAAGGGTAGCTATATCTAAAACACTACCAGCTCCAAGTATTCAAAGTGAATATTAACAGTTATATATTATGATGACAGCTATTAGCCTCAGATACTATGTGATGAAAACAGCACTTTATCTCTGTGGTCTTCTTCCTCAAAACCTGGAATTCCACTCTAATCATGAGAAAAACATTAGACACATTTCATTAGAGTAGTCACCTAACATATATGACCAATGCTCAAAACTATTAAAGTCATCAAGACAAAGGAAAAGCTAAGAAATTGTCACAGCCAAGCAGAGCCTAAGGAAACATGGTGATTAAGAGTAATATGGTAGCCTATGGGTTCTTAGATCTGAAAATGGACAACAGGGCCTCCCTGGTGGTACAGGGGTCAAAGTCTATCAAGCTATCGTCAGCCATAGCAACATGAGTCCCACCCATGGCCAGGGAGGTTACCCACACAATGCAGCAGACCTCTCCTGACCCGCCCACTGCTCCCCTCAGCAGTGTATTTCAGTAGATCAGCCTGTTCTGCTCCCCACTCTCTCACACCCCTGGCTAACTGCAGCTCGACCCACTGGACTCTTGGCTTCTGGTCTTCACGAGTGGGCTGCTTGTTCTGTGCTCTGGGGCCCTTGCCCTGATCTCCAGGCTGTGCCTGTGCTGTTAGACCTCCTGTTCAGGGCACCCTATAGGTTTTTTCTTTTAATTACTTGCTGACAATCAACCTTGGCTTCATGTTTTTACAATTGCCAAGGAAGGGAGACAGGTCACTCATCCATGCACTAACAATTTCAAGACGATCAGATATGGGGTGAAACTCAATAGGTGCATGAAAAAATGCTGATTATCCTATCAGTGAAGTGCAAATCAAAACTACAGTAAGGCACTGGCTCACCTCTGAGAATGATACATAACACTAGCCCAGGAATGACAAGTATTGGCAAGAAAAGGGAACTTTGTAAACTGTATCTGTGGTGAATCCTCTTACCCCATGCACCTCTGGCCCAGTTCTTATATGCATAAATAAATAAGTCTTTAGAAAAAGAAAAAGAATACTGATATAAACTACTATGTGACTGAACCTCAGAAACATTATGTTAAGTGAAATGAGTCAGATGCAAAGGTCACATACGTTAGGATATTCCATTTATATCAAATATTCAGAATACATGGAATCCAAGAGACAAATGGGTAGTTGCCAGGACTTGGGGAAGGAAGGAGGGGAATTGCTTAACAAGTAAGAGTTTCTCTTTGGGATCATAACAATGGTTTGAAACTAGATACAGGTTGTGGCTGCACAACATCATAGATGTACTAAATACTATTAAATATTAATTTTTAAATGGTCACATTACATTATATAAAATTAATCTCCATTTTTAAAAATCACATTAATATATAAAAAGAACAACTTTGGTGATAACTGTATCATCCACTCGTCACATAAACCTTTTTTTTTTTTTAAGATTTATTTATTTGTGCATACAGAACTGGGGTACAAGCCAGAGGTGCAGGGGCAGTGAGAGGATTCACCAGAAACAGAGTAGAGAGTAGAACAAGCAGATCATCGAAGTACACTGCTAAGGGGAGCAGCGGATATGTCAGGAGAGGTCACCTCCATGCCATGTGGTCACCTCTGGGGCAGGTGGTCAAACTCAAGCGGAAGTGACTTTAGCTTCTTAGTGCTGTGCTTTAACCCTCTGTACCACCATGGAGGGCCTTGTCACATAAATTCTTAATCCCAAATTTATTTCAAACTTGGGGAAAATTCTGTTTCTTTTTAAAAAATATTTATTTAGACATGCATAAAATAACTGGGGTATAGGCCAGAGGTGTGGGGTGGTGAGAGGCTTCACCAGAGACAGAGTGGGGAACAGAACAGGCAGATGTACTAAAATACACTGCTGAGGGGAGCAGCAGGTGGGTCAGAAGAGGTCTGCTGTGCCATGTGGGTCAGCTCCCTGGCGGAGATCAAACTCCTGCTCCAGTGGCTGTTGAGAGTGTCATAGTCCTGTGCTTTAACCTGTTGCACCACCAGGGAGAACCCTGCTTTTTTTTTTTTTTTAATATTTATTTTATTTATGCATCCAACAACTGGAATAGAACCTGTGCTGCAGTGGCTACCAACAGCTTCACTGCACTGAGACTTAAGACTTAACCCCTTGTACCACCAGTGAGGCCTCAGTTGTTTCTTGAATGGAGAGAGTGACTACAGAAATTTGAATTCAAAAATAATTTTTTTTTTAAGTAACTGAATGAAATTTGCCAGTTATATTCAAATTGAATTATTCAGCAGTTTTCCTCCAAATTTTGTTTAGGTTTGCCTGTATAAACATATACATACACATTCAAAATGTGAACAAAGTGAAAAATCTTCATTTAATCATTTTTTTCCTAAAGACTCTATGTATTAAATTTAAGTTCTTACCCTCTTCTCTGTGCATCAACCCAGGCCTGATCTCTGTTGTCTTTTTCAGGATCATATAATAATTCGTCATTTGTTGGAATCCTGTGTCGCTGCTTCTTCTTTTTCTTGGTCATCTGTGCTAATTTTGAAAATATTAAGGTCATAACTAAGTATCAAGTTTAAAGTTCACACTTCTTTAACACAGAATGCAGAATCACACTTTCTAAGTCACATTTTCTTCTACTTACTTTTTTTCCTAAAAAAAGTCTTTACATTTCCTCCAGTTAAGTTCCTGTCCAACTAACAAGGCACTAAAATGAAGATGACTGAGAATGCAAAATTGTTTTTCAATGAATACCTGCCTCTCAAGAACTAGGTTCAAATAATAAGAATTCAGATTCTAAACAAAGCCACCCAAAGCAAGCCAAGAATAAAAGTTATGTTTGATGTCTAACATAAATTCTCCACAAGTTCCTATATATAAATGCTACTGAATAAAAAATATTTCAAAAACCAATTTTTAAAAATCTATGGCTTCCAACAAGCATATGAAAAAATGTTCAACATCACTTGTAATAAGGGAGATGCAAATTAAAACCACAATGAGATACCACCTCACCCCAGTGAGAAAGGCACATCTTCAAA